TGCATATGATGTCCAGTTCCAACACCACTTGTTGAAAAGGTTATCTTTGCACCTTTTCATTTCTGATATTAGGAATCTGTGTCCTCTCTTTTTGTTTTTTCTTTTCTCCTTAACCTGGCTATAGGCATATTGAATTTATTGATCTTTTTAAAGGACCAACTTTTGACATAATTGATTTTTCTCTATTGATTTGCTGATTTCAGTTTTTATTATTTCTTCTTATTTGCTTTGGATTTAATTTACTGTTTTAGCTTCCTGAGGTAGAAACTTAGATGATTGATTTTAGATTTTTCTTTTCTAATGTATTCATTCAGTGCTATAAATTTCCCTCTAAGCACTGCTTTCACTACACAAACTTTAACAAATTGTATTTTTTGTTTTCATTTAGTTCAAAATGCTGTTTAATTTCTCTTGAGATACCTTCTTTGACCCATGTGTTATATAGAAATGTATTGTTTAATCTCTAAGTACTTGGGGATTTTCTAGCTCTCTTTCTGTATATTGAGTTCAAGTTTAATTCCCTTGTGGACTAAGAGCAGATGTTGTATGATTTTTATTCCTTTAAACTTTGTTAAGATGTATTTTATGGCTCAGAGCAGTCTATCTTGGTGAATATTCCATGTGATCTTGAGAAGATGAATAGTTTATATAGGTCAGTTATATCCAATTGATTTATGGTGTTGTTCAGTTCAACTCTGTCTTTACTTATTTTTGCCAGCCAGATCTGTCCGTTCTGATAGAGGGTTGTTGAAATTTCCATCTCTAATAGAAGATTCATCTATTTCTTCTTGCAGCTCTATCAGTTTTTGCCTCATGTAGCTTGACGCTCTGTTAAGTACAAACACGTTAAGGATTGTTATGTCTTCTTGGAGGACTGTCCCCATTTTAGCTTAGAATAATGCCCCTCTTTATTCCTGATAAGTCGCTTTGCTCTGAAGTCAGCTCTGTCTGAAATAAGTATTTCACTTTTCTCTCCTCTTGCTTGCATAGTTTCTAACATAAATTGGATGTAATTCTTATTTATAGGTAAGGTATATCTTTTTCTGACTTCTTTGAGGATTTTTTTTTTTAAGCTTTGATTTTATTCAAAGTCATACACCTAGGTGCAGTTTCTGAATTTTTTTTTCTGCTCAGTGTTCTCTTAGCTTTCCGGATCTGTGGTTCAGTATCTGACCGAATTAATTTGGGGAAATTCTCAGTCATTATTGTTTCAGATATTTCTTCTGTTCTTTTCTCTTTCTTTTCCTTCTAGATTTCCATTACACATATTTTACATCTTTTGTAGTTGTCCCACAGTTCCTGAATATTATATTCTGGTTGTTTTTTTTTCTCTCTCTGCTTTTCACTTTTGGCAGTTTCTATTGAGGTATTCCCAGACTAAAGTCTTTCCTCAGCTGTCTCTAATCTACTGATCAGCCCATCAAAGGCTTTGTTCCTTTCCATTACAGTGTTTTTGATCTCTTTCATTTTTCTTCGGTTCTTAAAATCTCCTTCTCTCTGCTTACATTATGCATCTGTTCTTGCATTTATCCATTAGGGTCCTTAGCATCTTAATCATAGTTACTATATTCCTAGTTTGATAACACCCAATATCCTTGCCATGTCTGGTTCTGATGCTTTCTCTGCCTCTCAGACTCTTGTGTGTGTGTGTGTTTTTTTTTTTTTGCCTTTTAGTATGTCTTATAATTAAAATAGGAAGACATGATGTACTTGGTGAAAGGAACTGCTCTTATAGGTCTTTAGCAATGCCATGGTAAGGTGTGGAGGAGGGGAAGCATTCTGTAGTCCTCTGAGTGGGTTTTAGCCTTTCAGTGGCCCCGTCCGTCTGGGTTGTGAGCTACACACATGCTTCTCTGTTTTTTCCCCTGCTTTGGTGGGAAGGGATGTCTAGAGTAGGCTGGAGTTGAATGATAACCCCTCCTCTGGGTCAGTCAGGCTCTGATAAAACCACAAGAGGTCAGACTCTGGCTAATTAGTTTCTCCTGGGGGGAGACTTTTTTAAGAACAGGATGTCCTAGTCTAATTCAAAATGGTTCCTTTTCCTCTCCCCCAGCCAGAAGCATAGGGGGCGGTAAGAGCCTGGTCAAGCTCGCAGATGATAGTTACTAAAGCGCGGGGTCCCTGATGAGTGGGCACCCCTGGAGGTTTTATTTCTCAGGCTGTCAGGGCCGAGTCTCTGGCAGGCTGTCAGTTTCAGTGCAGGTTTCTCCACCTCAGCACTGGTTGGTCCTGTGGGGATGTTTGCAGGTGGGCTTCTGCTTTAGTAAGCTATGATTCTTTGTATTTGTCTGCCTATCTCTAATTTTAGAGGCCCTATGAATACTTCTGTCATGGATTTAAGAAGAGTTGATTTTTAGTTTGTTTGGCTCTTGTTAAGACAAAGTGGTGACTTCCTGCTTCTTACACATGGCTTATGGGATCTTAGTTCCCTGACCAAGGATTGAACCTTGGGCCCTAGGCAGTGAGAGCGTGGAGTCCTAACCCTGGACCGCCAGGGAGTTCCTCCTTTTTGTCCGTTAAAGATGTTGTTCTGTGGAGAAGGAAATGGCAACCCACTCAGTATTCTTGCCTGGAAAAATCCATGGACAGAGGAGTCTGGCGGGCTGAAGTCCATGGGATTACATGACTGAGCATGTGTGCGCGAGGGTGGAGGGAGATGGGTTGGTAGCAATAAACAGGTAGAACTAAAAAAAAAAAAAAAAGATGTTTTGTTGTCTTCTGGTTTGCATTATTTCTGATGAGAGGGTGATATTAAATATTTGTGTTTATCTTTCTTCTTTTGAACAAAAAGTGTCTACCCTCTCCCTGATTTTAAGATTTCCTTTTTGTCTCTGACTTTTGGTACTTTGATTATGAAAAGTGCCTTAGTGTGGTTTGGTTTGGTTTGGTTTAATTTTTATTTTATATTTTATAGTTGATTAACAGTGTTATGTTAGTTTCATGTGTACAGCAAAGAGATTCCATTATACGTATCTATTTTTTTTTAAATTCTTTTTCCATTTAGGTTGTTACAGAGTATTGAGCAAAGGTCTTTGTGCTATACAGTGGGTCCTAGTTGGTTATGTATTTTAAATATATAATATGGTTTTATTTTATGTTTTTAATGTGTGAAGTTCATTGAACTTATATATGTTTATAGTTTTTTATCAGTTTGGGAAAAATTTTGATCTTTTTTTTTCAAATACTTTTTGTTCCCCTTTGCCTCTTTTCTGAAACTCAAGTTATGTGTACAGTTTGATACCGTCCCATTGGTCACTGGTGCTATGTTATTTTTTTCATCTTTTTCTTTTTCCACCCCCTCTGTGCTTTATTTCAGATTTTTTTTTTTTTTTTTGCTGTGTCTTCAAGTTCATACATCTTTTTTTTTGTGGAGTCTAATATGCTGTTAATCCAATCCAGTGAATTTTTTACTTGAGATATTGTAATTTTCATGTCTTGTAGTTCCCGTTTGATTAGTTTTTATACCTTCCCTCTTTGCCTCACCATGTCCATGTTTTGTTATGGGACATATTTTAATAGCTATTTTGATGTCCTTGTCTACTAATTCCATCATTTCTTATTTCTTTGTCTATTTCTAATGCTTGATTTTTAAATCCTGGTTGTGAATCATTTTCCTGCTTCTTTAATATCTGGTAGTTTTTGACTAAATGCTGGACACTGTGTATCTGATGTGTGGTGGGGCTCTGTTTCATTGTATTCCTTTAATGAGTTTTGGAAAAAAAAAAATGAGTTTTGGACTTTGTTTTGCTGCTTACTTATATTACTTGTGATCAGTAGGATCCTTTTTCAGGTCTTGTTTTTGTAAGCTTTATTAGTGCGGACACAAAACAGTCTCTCACCCCTTTAAAAGCAGCATCCTTTTCAGGATTCTGCTGCTTGGCCCCCCCTTTTTTAACAAGGGCTTTCTGCTGTAGCTAGTAGAACCACAAACTAGCTGTCTAACCACAAAGCTAAGTCCTCACTGTCTGAAATCCAGGAGTTGTTCAGCTTACTGTTTTCTGAGAGTTCTTTCCCTGGCCTCCACCCCCCCCACACACAGACCGTTATTCTGCAGAATATTCCAGGGAGCTCCTCTGCAGACATCCAGATTTCTCTCCCTGTGCAGCTCCTCCTTCTTTCTCTTTTGCTCTTCAAATTCTTACTGCCTCGGCCTCTCTGGGCTCCAGTCTGTCTCAACAATTCAGCAGAATTTTTGAGTTCTATTTTAGTTTCCTTTCCCTGCATTGCAGCTTGGAAATTTCCTCCAGGCAGTAAGCTCTGGCAATTGTGGGGCTTACCTTGTTTTTCTCTCTGAGATCATAGGTCTTCAATGCAGTTGTCCAGTTCTGAAAAATTGTTTCATATATTTTGTCCAGTTTCCTTTTCGCAGTTTTCTTACTAAATAATCCGCCATAGCCTGAAGCAGAAGTTCCGTATAAATTTTATACTCTGCAAACTTTTTAGAATAATCAAAAGAGATAAAGTCTGTCATTTTATGTTTTAACCAGTTCACTTCATCTTCATACTTCCTCTCCTGTATTTGCTGTTGAGAAAACTGATTTCATGTTCTCTTGAAACTTTAGTGCAATATATATTCTTAAGTTATTTGCAGGTGAGTGCATATCTCAAAGTACAGGTCATGCTGGATTTTATAGTTTGTCTTAGTATGGTGTGGGGGGCTGTGTATCCTTCTTTTGTTATTTATTAACTAATTTCTGTCCCATGAATGGCCTTCATTCTGAGCATTGTAAGTGAGACCCCTCTCTGTTTCTACATACATATATCCCTAAATAATTGGAAAAACTAAGTGACTTTTGTTTAAGTTGCTATGGGCATGTTTCCCTTCTCTAGATTTATTCTCTGTCTAAAGACATTATATACAATTCTTGGTTTTGTCGCTTGTAACTTAACTCAGTATTTGTTTGCTATTCTTCTCATCTTGTTCGCTTGAGTAATGCTTGGTGTAAAAATGTAACCACATAAACAGTGTTTGACTTGGCTGCTTTTTTTTGTTCTCCTAGATGGTATAGCTGCATGCTGGGAAAGAAATGCAGCCTGGCTCCTCTGAAGGAAGAACTTCGCATACAAGGGGTAAGGCTTTGTAATTACTATTCCGGAGGTGTGTCCACTTTTGATGGTACTTGAAATATAGAATTTTCCTGTATACCAAAAAACCCTAAATGTGTTTTTCTGTTTTATTTTTGCTTGTCCATTGCTTGTTTAGTTTTTTTAATGATGTAATTTTGGAGCTAACAGAATTTTTTTAAATCACCAAAATAAGGCCTTTTTTTTTTTTTTTGAAAGGCCTTAAAATGGAGACTACATAGCTATGTCAAGCCAGGCTTTGGAGGCTCTTTTTCCTAAAAAAGAAAACAAAAGAAGATTTGAATCGTTTTACCAGTAGTTCTCTGAAGTGCTGTATTTTGAGTGTTTCATATATCTAACCTCAAACCCAGAACTGTAAATTGTCTCTCATGTTTCATGGGAGGAAAAAAGCCTACAACTTTGTTGAGATGTCTGGACGGCATCACTGATGCAATGAACATGAACTTGGGCAAACCCCAGGAGATGGTGAAGGACAGGGGGGCCTGGTGTGCTGCAGTCCATAGGGTCACAAAGAGTCAGACNGGGGCCTGGTGTGCTGCAGTCCATAGGGTCACAAAGAGTCAGACACTACTGGGCGACTAAACAACAATGATTTACTCATTGGTTATTAGGCAGCTAGGCATAGCTGTTTTTGGATGGTAGCATTCGCTAACTGATAAAAAGAAAGACCAAACTATAATTTAAAATGAGGCAGCAGCCAGAAACATATTAGTAGGACTAATAAAATTATTTGATGCTGTGTTTTTTGGTTTCAGGTTCCTAAAGTCACCTATACTGAATTCTGCCAGGGTCGGACAATGAGATGGGCTTTGGCTTGGAGTTTTTATGATGATGTAACAGTACCAGTAAGTTGAGACCTTCCTTTAGCTTTGCTGAAATCCAGTACATGGTGGGTTTTAGTAGGTCATAAATCAACTAAATCTGTGCTGTCTTGTTTCCCTGAAGTTTGCCCCAAATGCTTACATCACAACGGAAAGTGGTTGTAAACCAGGCACAGTCCTGGAAGGCTGTCTGTGGTGACCGTAAAACCTTTCTCTCTGTATCTGTGCAACTCAGTGATTCTTAATCAGAAGATGTAAATGAGTTGGAAAAGGATCTTTTACCAATTAAAAAATTCAAATACAAACACCTTGTGGGTATGATTTTTCTGTTGGACATTCCTCAAGAATTGAAATTGAAGTCTATTTTCTTTTATCACTGCTGTTTTCCTAGAGTAGCTGTCTCCTAGGGTTCCTGTGGATATAGAAATTGCCATTTGGGATTGCAGGCTTTTGATGTGTAAAACTCAGAAATCATTCGAGTAAAGGATCCTGTCTTGACTTTCAGATGAGCACTAGAATATTGATGAGTTTTGAAGCTGGGTGGTATAGTTCATTATCCTATTTTGTCTACTTTGCATGTGCTTGACCGTGAACATTCTTCTGTAATTTTATGATCCACAAAATTCTTATTGTTCTCTGTGCTTGCTGCTATATGCAAAAGAAAAATGTTTCTGAACTGGTTAGCCGGAATAATTTTTCTAGGCTACATAGAGGTGGTAATAGAATAGCATCTGTTTGTTCTCACTTTTCCCCTGGAAGAAGAATTGACTTCTTGTTCCCTGGAGCGGCCCACCTTGACGTTCATGCACACGTTGCTCGGCTTGAGCTGCTGCTGCCCCCAGTATTCATGGAGGCCGCGTACCTGGTCCTGCCCACCGTCTCCAGTCCCCTGTCCACACCATAGGCTTGTCCTGGCTGCTCCTCTCCCAAGGTCTTGGCCGCACTTTGTCTCCAGAGTCTCTCTTAAGTGTTGCACGCTCTCTTGCAGGCTCTCTCTGTAACTCTGAGCCTCTTTCCTTCTGTAGGGCAGAGGAGTAGAGATGTGTGGAAGTACGAGGGGACCATGTGAAGGTGTTTCTGAATACGTGAGCTCAGGTTTGAAACTCAGCCTTCCCTTCCTGTACTCTGCGGCTAGGTATGCTGCTGGATTGAAATAAGTTTTCCCAGTCAAGTCTGCATGGCCCGTCTGATGGAAGCCCAGACTGCCTCTGTGCCATGCAGTAGGGTATCCAGAGGTTAGTGTTTGAAATACTCACTGATTACCAAAGATGGTTGTGCTTTTTTTGACCTCCCTGAGGGATTATCCTTTCTGTCGTCTTCTAGAATAAGAATACCAGGGCTTTCCCGCCAACTGGTTAAAATCGTTAGTAATGCCCTGGCTTACCCCTATGCAGACACTGACAGGTGCAGGCAAATGGAGCTGCACCTGTTTCCGAGTGCTTTCTGTTGAACCTGCTTTCCACACTTGTTGGCACCGCAGGCAGAAGAGCTGATAATGAGCTCTGGCACCCTCCGGGCCGTCTCCGGGACAAGTGACACCCTTGCCCTCTTGGATTAGCAGCTATTTCAGATCAGAGTGTCAAAGAGCAGTGTTTCTGTGGTAGTAAAACCAGCTTACTTTGAAAAGGAGTCAGCTAAGCCTTCTTCCCTCCCTCCCTGTCTCTTAGGTCATCCTCGAGCCCTGTTCATGGTTTCAGCCATGAAAGAATGCCTCTTGCTAAGGGCCCCAGGCTCCTGCCACACCAGAGTACTCATCCCTCCGCACCACTGCCCCCAACCCAAAGCTGTTAATAATGCATTCCCAAGTGTTCCATTAGGTGCGCTTAAACTGCTACGGGGAAAACGGCAATTTCTGATTTGTGGTAACCCAGCAACAGTTCCTTAGCACTGGTGCCCTCGCTCGGCAGCTGCTTTCCCAGGGGTAGTCCCAGGGCCCTCGGGAGGGCTTCAGTGGGCTGCCCTCTTGGTTCTCCTTCCTGCCACCTGGACCTCTCCCTGCCGTTTGAATCGGTCACCTCATTTTCTCCTCTTGCTCCTGTCGCTGCGGCGGGGAGGGACGAGCATGTGCTGTAGGTGAGGAGAGGAAGCCAAGGACTGGAGCTGGTTAAGCAGAAACATTGACCTACTTCCCCGCCCCACCCCCATTCCCTCCTTTTTAGGGTAAATGTGCAAGTTACTATGGCAACTTCTGTTTCACTTATCTCAGGCCTACTGGCTTGCTTCTATTGGTGCTGAATGCTGAAAAATTCTAATTTGCTGCTGATTAAGTGCCCACACTAAGCCCATTGCTCGTCTGGATTTATTTTAACAGCCAAAAGACGAGTCCTAGTGTTGATAAAATTATGTCTGTTCATTTCCGACTCATGACAAATATAAGGAAGCATATCATAAGGACTGTTCCTTACAGAATTTTAACAGGCCACTGAGAATGCCTCCTTGTCCGAGCTTCTTGCATTGCTCAAGGCATTATTTTAGCTTTGCTTTGCTTTCCAAAGTTTGACACTTGTTAAAAGAAAAAGGGGAAATAATGTGACTCTAGTAAATGGTGTGTACTCTTGGTCTGAGCATTGCCCAGGAACTCTGGTTTTAAAAAATGAGGCCCCTCTGCTCAACACATTTCCTCTGAGCCTAGGTGTTTCTTATTCAGGGAGTCATAACTAGAGGGCTTTCTGGAGAACAGATGGAGGGAAGGGGTCAAATTAATTAGGTAGCCTTATTAATGTTAGAATGGCGTTCTTCTGACTGCTCCACTGCCTAGTCCACACGCTCTCAAACTCATTCCAGATAGAGGAGGGGTTCCATGTAGGTGCTCAGGGGGTGACACTTGGAGACAGGTATCAGGCTGGTACCCAGGGCTCGCTCTCATTTTAACCAGAGCTGATCTGCTTTTGTCAGTATTGTGTATTGATTTTATTTATTGAAAGGATTCTCCTGTTAAGACATGGTTAGAGGGGATTCTCTGGCAGTCCAGTGTTTAGGACTCTGTGTTTTCACTGCTGAGGGTGCAGGTTCAGTCCCCTGTTGGGGAACTAAGATCCCATAAGCTGCTCAGTGTGGCAAGGGGTGGGGGGGAAAGGACATGGTTTGAAAACCAGTACTGTACCAGACTATAAGTTATGCTGTAAAACAGATGTGATGGTTAGGGATCTGAACTGTTTAGCAAAACTAAAGCTAAGGCTCCTTCTCTTGTTACTTTTCTTATTGTGACGTTCATTGTGATAATACCAAAGAAATAAGATACCATTTCCTATCGCTTACAATGACTAGTTTTACGAATGAGAAGTATGGATACGAAAGTTTATATGAGTGAGTACTGAAATGAATGGTAGGAACCAGAATGGTGGAGAATTAGGGCATTCAGAAAAGAAAATGGTTCAGCCTGGTAGGACTTCATGGAGGAGGAATTGTCAATGTCTGACTCATAGTTGGTGCATAGTGAGTATTTGTTGAGTGTTAAAAGGAATATGATGTAGAACTTCTACTAAGGAACAGCATTGCAAGCCTAATGTTAATCTGTATAGTAGATTTCAAGCACCAGAGATAGTCTTTGTTAGGATGTGAATGCTTCACACACATTATGTCATTTTATTCAAACCTGACAATAATCAAGTGGGTGGTATTATCCCCACTTTCTAGATGACAAAATTGGAGACTCTAAATTTAAAGTCAGGTTGAAGCCTTGCTTAGTCTGATTTCACAGCCTAAGCTCGAAGTCACTGTGCTACGCAGGGACTGCCCTTTGTTCCAGTCTAACCAGGTATTACCTACTCAGCAGCCCCTCAGCACCTTGCTATAAACCCATCCCAGCCCCTTCTCAGGTAACGGTCTCCTGGATTCATCCGGAGCTCACCTTTCAAAGAAAGGATGGCTCCTCGGTGGCTCCTTGTTTCTCCCAAATCTGTCTTTGACTTCCCTTCCATCCTAATCACTCCCTGTTTTCCTGATTGTGCTGCCTTCTATGGCATTAGAAGTTACATAGTCTTCTCATGATGCCAGGGTCATCACTGACTGTCATTACAGCCTTTGCTCACAGCCCTTTGATCCTTTCTGTGAACTTCCCTTCACTGCAGCCCAGCTCAATTCCATCTTCTGCATAAAGCCTTCTTAACCATGCAGCCCATAGAAATCTCTCTGGACCTGTCTTTATTTATTTACTTGTCTGTGCTGGTCTTAATTGCGGTATGCAGGATCTTTAGTTGCAGCATTTGGGCTCTTAGCTGTTGCGTGCAGGATCTGGTTCCCCGACCAGTGACTGAACCGTGGCCCCCTGCATTGGCAGCACACAGCCTTAGCTGCTGGGCCACCAGGGACGTCCCTGGATTTGTCTCTTTCAGTCATTTGTATTCTGCATGAACTTACTTCTGACCTAGTTTGTACTGGTATTTTGTTTAATGTGGCATGGTGGATTACCCTAAAACCACTGCAGAGTGTATAGAAACTATCTGTCTTTAGGTTGAGCAGGTACTTTAAGTTTTTGTTTCTTTATCTGTAAGTTGGAGGTTACTGATAGTACCTACCACATCAGGTTTTGAGGATTAAATGTACTTAACACAGTGCCTGATATATATAGTAGGTGCTCAGTAAAATATATTGTATTATCATTTCCCACCATTCCTTCTCACTGCCTCTGTATTTGATGTCCCAGTAATGCTGAGCTGCCCTGATGATTCTAAAGCAAATCTTAAAGTGTATTATTTCATCTATAACCATTTTCGTGTTTATTTACAAAAGGTGTTTCATTTTACTTTGTATTTTTAGAGATTGCCTTTTTGTGTGTGTGCTATTCAGTTTTGTTTGGTAATTGTAAAAGATACTCATACGTGGTTTCAGAATCAAATCTCAAAAAGGATACTGTTAGAAGTCTGGCTTCATTCTCTTGTCTCTTTCACCCCAATCAATTCCTCTTCTCCTTGGGTTACTATTTAAATGATTTTCTAATTTATCCTCCCATTGTTTTTAGTTGGGTTGGTTTTTTTAATATAAGAAAATACACATATAGTTATAGTCACCTACTTTCTTAGATAGGTAGCATTCTACATAAACTTTTTTCCTTTTATTTTTTTTACTTTGTATTGTTTTTACATATATCTAGGAATGATTACCGGAGAAGGCAATGGCACCCCACTCCAGTACTCTTGCCTGGAAAATCCCATGGACGGGGGAGCCTGGTGGGCTGCCGTCTACGGGGTCACACAGAGTCGGACATGACTGAAGTGACTTAGCAGTAGCAGGAATGATTATAGGACATTTTAAAAACCGCAACCAGTCAGATTGGATAACAACAGAAATGCCACTGGGCTGTTAATAAAGAAGCCACACTTTTAGAGAGCAAAATACTTAGTCCTCTTCATGGCAGCAGAGCTGATACACATGTGAAAAAGGTAAGCTGGTCTGACTGTCCGTCCCAGCGCCCCTCTTGTGTGTATTCCAGCCAGGTGGCGGTGCTGGCCCCTTGGCTTGGTTCTTCCAGAAGGAGTAGCCTGTGCTGAGTAACAGCTCACAGACCCTCGGCGTGTTCCTGGAGGACCTGGAGCGGCAGCCATTCAGAATGTGGCAGAGCAGGGAAGACCCCTGTGTGGTAGGCAGGAGCACGCCTTTCCCCTCAAGACCATTCTGGAAGCTGCTCTGTCTTATCGAGGAGGCCGTGGCTTCATGCTCAGCAGATCTTAGTGAATGACCCTCTTCTTGTTCTGCAGATATGAGGGAGATGTGTGTTCTACCTTAGCCACAGTCAGCAGCTGAGCTTCAGCAGAATGGCAAATGCTGCACAGATTTGTATCAGGTTACACCTGATTTGAAAGTCTTCTGACTGGTTGTACCACTGAGGTCTAGAAATTAAAGGAAGAGTGAAGATTTAAGCAATTTAAAGACAGCTCTTAAGCCTCTGCGCTCCCAATGCACGGGGCCTGGGTTTGATCCCTGGTCAGGGAACTAGATCCCACATGCTGTAAGTAAGAATTCGCATGTTACAACTAAGACATGTGCAGCCAAATTAATATTTTAAAAGAAAAAAAAAAGACAGCTCTGCTAGGTAAAGCATATTTTTAAATTGTAAGAACTATTTTTTGCCCAATTCGTGGTTTCAGTGTGGTAACACTTGAAGCTCCTCCCATATTGATGATTATTCATTGAATCCTTGCAGTGTAAAAGATACAGAGCCTGTATTCTCTGCAGAATTTACAACTCCCCACCAAACTGCTTTCACATTGTAATTTCAGCTGGGTTATATAGTAGTTCATCTTCTAACCCAAAATCAGTTGTAAATTCACCTTCTGGTTTTGTACATTAAACTGATTTAATCATTATTGATTTTTAAAAATTGTGCTTTAAAGTGTTAAATTGTTACTTTGTCTTCTAAACTATGACAGTTTGAGTATAGCACACTCTTCATTGAAAATATTTGTGGTCTGAGATTTAAAAGCTTATTAGCAAATTAAGATCATCTCAATTGGGGAAAAACAGCTTCTATTTACTAGTGTTGTGACAGGGTATACAGTTACCTGCTGTTGAACCTGTGTGGGGTTGAATTTAACTATTAATTTATTAGGACCTGCTCCTGTATTTTACTCTGGCCCTGCCTACTGAGAATTTTCAGTATGAGCAAGAAAGGATGAGGAATGATTGCTATAAGCCAGACTTAAGTTAATCTTTAATCACTTAAAAGCTTTTAGAGTTTCTGAAGTATAAATTGTCTGTCTCTGGAGTGCTTACCTAGTTTCTATAATAAAACTAGGAAATTCCCTGGTGGTCCAGTGGTTAGGAATATGCGCTTTCACTGCCGAAGGTGCAGGTTCAATCCCTGGTTGGGGGACTAAGATCCCTAACCTGTGTGGCATGGCCAAGAGTAAAACTAAATCCTGAGAATGTGTGTGTGTGAGTGAAAACAATTCACTAAAAATCTTCAGAAATACCAGATTTGTTGATTGACCATTATTATATGGAACATTGGAGCCAGGATGCAAGGTAAAGGAGCCATATATGAGATGGAGGCGTTTTCATTTTTGTTCTAGTGTAACAAGGCAACAAACTTTCTGTTTTGCTGTTTCTGAAAGTGGGTCCTTAAGAGAGCTCTTGTTAAGTTTGATGAAGGTGCATTTCTCTCCTTTAAGTTCTAGAAAAGCCCACTCTTACTTTTGAAGGAGAATATTGCAGGAAATGACAGGCACAGCAATATCTTCACAGTGCTGGTTGGAATTTGTAAGCACAAATGATTCCGCCTCTGTCCAAAGAGAGATGAGGTGCTATCCTTCCAGCCATATTTGTAGATGACCTTTGGTGTGCTGTCAGGGATGGCCCTGCGACAGTGACCTTTCCATGGTAACAGCCTTGGATGTCAGGAAGCAGAAAGAATAATTTGATTCTTGTTTCCCATCCTCCTCCTACATACCACCGTCTTTTTTCACCCCCAGTTTAATAATCATATCTCAAGCTCCTCAGTGCAAAGTTTAGGCTCTCAGTAACTGGAGAAATTGTGTTTCTTATGTTGGGCAATTGAATAATAACAGTGCTGCTGTGTTGATGCCCATATGAATTTGTCTCATCTTGCCTGCAACATAAATTGAGCAAGTTCAGACCTCAGGGCTTAGAGTCTGCTGTTCATTTCTCAAGAGCAGCTTTCTTACTCATACACACACCCTTTGTTTTTGGTCCTTTTCTTTTAAGCTTGTTTTCTATTCTTTAACTTCCCTTTTTTATTAGTTAATATCTGGTATAAAGAGAAAATGTTGATTGTTTCTAGGAAATACCATCTAAAAGTGTTCTAGAGAACTGGCTATTTTCTTGTGTATATGGGGGTAGGGAATTGCTAGTTAGTTCCTATAAGGCCTCACCCAGTAACTGGACCTCACTGTGTGTGTATTTATGTGCTCTGTCACTGTTTCCAGGCACAGTCGGAGTTCACAGCCACACAATTATCAAATACTTCTTTTTTTTTTTTTTTAGTAGATCTTCAGAACTGACTGGGTATTGTCTGTTTTTGAGCCTTTTTATAATCCTGCTCATTTTGATCCTAACTTTAGAATTAGCTTAAACTCTTTTTCAGATTTTGATAAAATTTGTCTACAAGTCAGTCCCTTAAAGTGTCCATAATTTATCTGATCTTAGCTAAGAGTCTAACTTAAAAAAAAAAAAAAGCAACCTTTTACTTGAAAGAAATAAGCTTTAAATTGAGCAGTGTCATTTGGTGTTTAAAATGGAACTTGAGTCCCTCTAGTGGTAAGAGTGTAGTTCACTTTTCAAGCTTGAAATGTAAAGAAAGACGACAGTCTTGAGTTACGTGGAATCAGCTTTCAAATCTGCTGTTCTCGTGGATGCTAGTGTCCCCTTTCCCCAGCCAGGAGGCAGTGCACAGGTGGGCACTGGCTTGGCCCTGACGTGCCTGGATTCAGCATCCTTTTCAGCCCATGCGATCCTGGTGCCCTGGTGGTTCCTAGCATGCGATTTCACAAACTGCCACTCACCAGCTGCTCTCTTTCAACAAGTCTCAGCACGTATCAACTCGGGCTCCATGGTGGTGATTTTAAGCCATGCATTTTTTTTTTTTTAATAGAAAGGAACACAGTGCCCTTGGGGTCCTTGAGTTGCCTTGAAAGGAATAGTTGCACAGGCCTGTTTTGGGCATAGCAGGTAGACGAAGGACATTTAGTAACCAGAGGAGTTACATACTGATAGAACACAGGCAGAAAGTACCTGGGTTTGGGATTCAAATCCTAACTTTACAAATACTAACCATGTGACCTCAAGCAGATTCCATCGCTGCTCTGTATCTTAGTTTTTCCCATCTATAAAATGGGGAGATGGTAAAACCATTTTGTACAGTTGTTTTAAGTATTAAAAATAAACATGCCAAGGCCCTTGTTCTTTTTTAGGGCTCTGCAGTTTGTAGCAAAGGTCATGGAGATTCCCCCAGCTGAATTCATTATAATGCATGAGTTTGATTATTTGGATGATGTTCCCCTATTCTCCCGTGCCCTCTTTTTCTTTCAGTCACCACCCAGTAAGCGAAGAAAACTAGAGAAGCCAAGGAAGCCCATTACGTTTGTAGTCCTGGGGTCTGTGATGAAAGAACTAGCCCTCAAAGCGTCATCTCTGGGCCCTGAGACAGTGGAAGGCATTGTGGTTGTGACAACATGGATTGAAAAAATCCTCACCGATCTGAAGGTACCTGGTTGATAAGCACACTGAAGAAGTACTTAAAATAATCTTTTTTTTTTCTTTTTTTTTTTTTAAGGAGTTTTCAGAGGAGGAAAGTGATCTATAAAATTCTGTTTTTCCTCCAAACAGGTCCAGCATAAACGAGTTCCCTGTGGAAAGGAGGAAATCAGCCTTTTCCTAACGGCCATAGAAAACTCCTGGATTCACTTAAGGAGGAAGAAAAGAGACCGAGTGAGACAACTGAGAGAAGTGCCTCTAGCTCCCAAGAACGTGATCGAAGCCCTGGAAGAGAAAAAGTCTCCCCCCAAAGAGCCTGGCAGTAGCCAGGATGTGGCCCAGGGCCCCCAGGAGAGTGCCCTGGGGGGGCCTGCTCCACCGGAAGGCGAGTCTGCCACTGTGGGGGGCCATGGCCCCAACCAGGACGTGCTTTCCCAGGAGGAAAACCCAGAACCCACGGAGGATGAAAGGAGTGAGGAAAAGGGGGACATGGAGGTTCTGGAAGGTTGTAAAGGCTCTAGTAATGGAGCCCAGGACCACGAGGCTCCTGAGCCCTTCAGCAGCCCAGTGTCTGAAAAAGGGAACCATCTCCAAGGAGTGGATGGACGTTACTTATTCAAGTGTCTGATAAACGTTAAGAAGGAAGTAGATGATGCGTTAGTTGAAATGCACTGGGTTGAGGGCCAGAACAGGGATTTGATGAACCAGCTTTGTACTTATATACGTAACCAAATTTTCAGGCTTGTTGCTAGTTAACTCCAAAATTCTCACACAGCTGGGAAAGTTCTGTAAAGCAGCTTGCTTTGAAGAGTGGCCTTGTGGGTGGGGGGGGGGGGGTGGCAAGCTGAATTCCATCATTAGCCCACTGTAACATTATGTGGAATTGTCTTAAAAAACCAGCAAATGAGTCCATTTTTAAACAACCCCCTCCTTAAAAAAAAAAAAAAAACTACAGGGCATTGTAGTATGGTAATTCAGAGAAAGAACTGTGGTGATCAGCATCAACAGAATGTCATTGGTAAACTCATAAGGGATTTAAACCTGTCTTAAGCTGATCACCTTGACTTCAGACTGGTTTTCTGAGGCCAAAAGGATTATTTTCGCAGTCTGATCCTGGTCAGAACTTAATAGTGCATCCTGCCTTCTGTGTCAGCCTTGGTTGCTTCCTGAGAAGGGGTGACTTTCTCACCCCTGCCCTCCTCCCCCTCCACCCCATGGGGGTGGTATACCAGGGTAGATAGCCCTATACCCTCTTCTAAAGTCACTTTCAAGACTAAAAACTTTGGGTACATACGATTGATGACCCCTGTGTCAGTCCTGAGAAAGGAACTAGCCTTTTGAGAGTCAGGGAGAGAAAGCTCAGTAATGCCAGGAAGAAGGCCTGATCAGGGAGCACCTGGGAACATTGGAGACAATCGGCACATTCCTGACTCTTGTCTGTTTTGGATGTTGCTTGTTTCAGAAACAGAATTAGGTAAGCAAAACTGCCGGATGTAACTGCGATGCAGCAGAATGAAGCCATACCCGTGCCTCCAACCTGTTTAAAGAACTGTTTTGTAGCAGTTTGACTGGTGTGGATTTTTTTTTTTTTAATTTGTTTTAATGTTTGAAGTGGAGCTAATATAAGAGTATTCAGAATTGAAAACTTTCAGTCCTGTTTGAATCCTGGGGTTGGGGAAGATCCTCTCTTGGCTTTGGATGGGTGAGTGATTGGTGACGAAAACGAGAAATGGAGCAAGATGTACTTACATGTAGTGAGTTGCTTAAGAAAGTCCCAACTATTGGCAGACAAGTTATTGCTGATCAGAGATGGTTTTGGCAGGGGAGTTCGTTTGTAAGCCCTTTTGTGTTTACCTGTTACCATTGGAGAATTCTGAGGCCAGGGTAACTGTGTTCTTAAAATATGTTTCTAATTGTGGTGTTAGGGCTCAGCGGGAATGCCTCTGGGAAAGGCGTCTCTTTTTTGTCCTCTTGGTGTCTCGGTTACCCTCTGCTGTGCTTGACTTTCACTGCTTGATTTTATACCAGCAGCTGCGGGTTCTGTTTATCGTGAAGTTTTGAGCACGGTGCCACTGCTCCTCACTGTCTGCAAAGACGACTGCGGCGGAGTAGTTAAGCCACACTTTTGAAAGGTGGCTGTTGGTTGGGGCATAAAACTGATGACCTTGGCATACTTTGGCAGCAGCTAGACCAGTCCTTCTGGAGAAGGCAGTGGCAACCCACTCCGGTTCTCTTGCCTGGAGAATCCCAGGGACGGCGGAGCCTGGTGGGCTGCCGTCTATGGGGTCGCACAGAATTGGACACGACTGACGCGACTTAGCAGCAGCAGCAAAGATACTGGAAACAGAAGTAGGGCCATATCCTGCCTCCCCATGGCAGGGGAGACAGAGCTGCAGCAGAGGATGTGCGAACTCGCTCATGTTCTAGCCTGGTCCGTGGGCCTCTGGAGAAGCCGGAGCCTCCCGGGCTATTTCCAGAAGCTCTGTGGACGTGTATGGGTGTTTTCCTGGAGAGAAGCTTCCCCGACTTAAGAGGAGCTGCTGACTCACTGGGGGTTAGGAGCCGCTATGCTCGTTCAGGCTCGTCTTTGACAGGAAAAGGAAACTTAATGCCCTGGGTCCCACAGAGTCCAAGATTCAGCACAGGGCCTTGAATTCCGGTGGTCCTCCATCCACCCACACCATCCTGCTCTCCTCACCTCTTAGGACACATTGGAGTTGTATGCTGGACCCAAGGCTAGTTTCTATCTTGATCAAATTTTAGGATAAGTGAGTTAGGTAACAACTCTTCACTCAATAAAGTTGTCAGTGTTTGCCTGTTTGTTTCACTGTAAGGAGTAGTACATGCTCATTAAGTATTTGGGAAGATGAAAGGAGAAAACAGCTTCAGTCACCCCTTGTCTCAACCTTTGGGAGCATAGCCACTGTTGGTATTTCAGTGTTTCCTTCTAGTCACTAATCTCTCTCTATAGATGGGATGTGTGAGTGTGTGGGTTCAACTTTGGTTGTGTTCATTCTGTATATTCACCTTATGCTTTTCTCCTCCGTGTTGTCACAGGAGTGTATTATTTATACTCCTCACTTGTTCACAATGTATTTCAGCCACAGTATTAGCCTTTGTTAACTCTAGTACTTAGAGATTCCCAGAGAATCCTCTGTGGACCTGGAGCACAGAAGAGGTGTCTTAAATGTCTGTGTATGTTTGGACCCCAGGTTTGAGGCCTGGTGCAGTGGAAGGTGTTTTATAGTTTAAGCTGATGCTCTTAGAATTTAAGAAGTATGTGATGACAGAACCTTCCACTGCTGGAACTGTGAGTAAGTGCCATTTTTGCGTTTGTGTGTCTTCAGTTCCTTCTCCGAGAAGAATAGTTTATTTCCATCTAATGAAAGAACATTGAAACATTTTTAAAAGACATTTAAAATCCTTTCACTTATGCATATACTTTATAATTGTGTGATATGGGGTAGCCTACACCTCTGATAAAAGGGGAAAATGAAATTTTTTTTTTAAAGAAATAGATTACTGACCTGTGTGTCATAATGTTGATGATAACTGCCTAAGTGTCTGGAGGTCAAGTTCATGTTGATGGATTGGTATGAAATTCAGTCTTTGTGGTATTATCTTAAATTCTGTTCTGGTCCCTGGCTGGGCATCTGATTTCTTGATAACCAAAGTGGGAACAGAAGCAGGACTTGTTTTCCAAGGAGGGGAATAAGCTGCTTTTGTTCTTTGGAATCTGCTTTGCTTCCAGCAGTGGGTTCCTTCAGCCCACATCCTTGCCCAGCTATTCACACACCAGAGCATCACTGCTTGTCCTTGCAGGGTCGGTGTCTCTGTGGTGGAGTTTAAGCTAATCTTAAGGGAGTGTGTGGATGATATATACTTAAAATGTTAGTATGTATTTTTAAAAACATAAAACCTGTCAAAAGCTTACCATATGAGTACACCAGCTTCTAAGCTCTGACTTGTAGTAAAATTGCAAGGGGTGGAAAAGATGCAAAGGCCTTTAGAAAATTCTAGGCCTCCGTAAAGAAGCCCCTCCTTCTTACTTAAACCCAGGTGTTTTCCGCTGCAGCCACATGAGGGCGTATTTGGCTTTTTTATCAGCTTCACGGTGGGCGTGGATAAAATTGTGTCCTTGGTATTTTCTTGAAATATCCAGTCACTACTCAGATAAATTGGAGAAGGAAATGGCAACCCACTCCAGTATTCTTGCCTGGAGAATCCCATGGACAGAGGAGCCTGGTGGGCTACAGTCCATGGGGTCGCAAAGAGTCAGACACGACTGAGTGACTGCCAGGCCAGACTCAGATAAATATTTTTATGTAAGCAAGTATGTTTTTACATTAAAAAACTTAGAGAGATGAAAGAAAGAAGGAAAAACTCACCACCCTGTGGTCTGGGCATAAGTTTTCAACCTTTTTATGTTTCTTTATGGTTCCAGGTGATTTAAAAAATTTTTTTCTTTCCACCTGTCATACTACTATAAAATATACCCAGGCTGTGTTAGTCCTTTGGATCAACTTTTTATTGGTCTCTAGTTAATAGGGGTGCTGGAGGGGGACATTTCATGATTTTACATAGTAACTTTTCTAAAGCTACTATTTGTGTCGCAGGAAGAATGATAGAGCCTTAAGAAGGAAGCTGCTTTCAGCATTCCTAAGGAGTGCTCTGAGAGAAGGAAAGTCTCAAAGGTGCAGCACTTTCACAGCCACATCTCTTTTGGAGAAGTTGGCGCTCAGGAGAATCAGTTTGCTGAATGGGCATTAAGCCCAGTAAAAACCCAGAGGAGGCTTACTAGTGAGGATGGATTGGCCTCTGCCTCCTGGAGCAGGGCGTTGATGGTCTTGAACCTTCTCATGCTCCCGGGTACAAACCTCTTGGTGCTCGTGCCAGCACCATATTAAGGAAACCTGTAGGGGGCTCACCCTGCGAGCATTGGGACCTCACACACATACCAGAGAGTTCCTGCTCTGCTCTGCAAAGACATTCAGATCCTCTGCTATGACTCACCCAAATGACTAAAACAGCAGTTTATTTTTTTTAATTGCTGGTTGGAACAGCTAATGCTGCCTTTTGGAGGCTTTGCTTTTACTGCAGCGGACCGTGTTGTGACTGAAGGACTCGCGCCTCTGAATGCTCTCTGAGGTGCAGCCTTTTCTCTGCCCTTCTCAGCCCTCGACAGAACTGGCAGACCGTCAGGGACTCTGGGCTCTCTTCAGGGAAGTGGTGGATCACAGGTCTGCTTAGGAGCCAGGGAACTGAGATAAGGCAGAGTGGGCCAGAAAGTGCAGGGGCATGGAAAACAGAGAAGGGCACAGACTTCACAGTTCATCGGAGTCTGCATTCCAGTTCCACTTACAGGGTCAGTCATTCTCACTGAGGCTTGACTTGGACATACAAAAGGTGCTGGATTCTCACTTCCAAGAGTCCTAACAGCAGTTAAGTGAGAGGAATACTAAAGCCCCTTGGAAGAGTCTATAAACAAGGGGTAGGCTCATTGCTTCTTAGTCTCTCTGGAGTTTTCAGTTTCTGGTCAGAACATCTATCAAGAGACTCAGGTGAAAAAGCCAGGACCTCAGGTGTGTCAGTGCAAGTCTAGATTGCCACTCTGACTGAGAGCAGAAATCCAGACTTCGGTGTAGTGGGAGGATAAACGGAACCAATACTGATTGTCAGTCCTCTTTGTCAATTCTCTGACTTAATAACCCAGCAAAGAGGCATGGAGTTCCTGTGTGGTTGTGTAAAGAGGTGACAGCTCAGAGAGCTTAAATGACTTGCCCTAAGGTTGTTTATAGGGACTTGACCTCAGGTCCGAGATAGGAGACAGGGATTTCATACCAGTCTCAAGATTCCTCACGAGTGCTACACTTAGAATGGAAATGGACTCCTGGGCCCCGTGGACCCGTCTCTAGGGAAGGAAGCTTCAATGATATGACACAGGGAAGAGAAAATCAAGTCTTAACCAACTCTGCCATTGTGCATTTGAAGGTCATGTTATTTTCCAGCCTTTGATCAATGAGCAAGCTTTAATAAAATGAAATTGCTTATAATTAGTTCTTAACTTACACTACCAAATTTTTATAGAATTTTGTATTTGGCAGTAGTACAGATAATTAAGTTGATAGTGAAACCACAATCTAGTGCAAGCACACATTGGATCAGAATCAATGTAAAATAACTGATAATTAGGTAATGACTCTTTGACAATGCATAATTGTATAATAAGGGGAAGAAGGTTTTTTTTTTTTTAAATATTAGGCAGCATCAAATATTTCACTTATGGAAAGCAAAGCTGATAGACTTTCAAATCTTGCTACAGAAGGGTAACAGTCATCATAAAAAACAGCAAGTCGTCTTCCCCAGGTAAAGGAATGGACTATGTGAATCTGGAGAAAAGGAAAGGCTGCCTGCCATCTGGTGGGAATTCAAGGAGTGTGGCTGAGAGTGGAGGAAGTGGAGCCAGGAAATTCCCAGCTTGGGGAACCTTGGCCGGCTCCAGCAGCCAGCCCGCCCCCAGGGGAGGCTGCCCTGCGAGCACCGCTGAGCCTGGGACAGTGGGTAA